CCCCCGCCCGAGCCAGGGTCCCACCCTAGGGAGCGTCTCAAAAGTGCGCAGCTCCCGCCCACTCCACCAGGCCTCACTCCCAGCTTCCTGCATCCCTGCTCCCCGCCCCCTCCCCCTGAGCACCCGAGCAATTTCAGCAGATGGCCGCACGGTCGGGAACATCTGGAGGTCGCCTTAGTGCGTGTGCTTCTGTGTGTGTGGAGAGAGAGTTGTTGGTAAGAAAGAGGATGAGTGGATGAGGGTTTCTTCTCCAATTCTACCCGCCTCCCCGCCCCGATTTACTTTCAGCGTCGTAGAGATCGAGAGACCAAAGAATCTGAAGTAAAGAAACACTGGCTGAAAGAGGAGCCCACAGAGGAGAGCTGGGCTTGGGCAGAATAACTGGCAGGCGAGGAGAAAGCCAGCAGACTTACTTGTTTCTTTTATAGAGATCAGCTTCAGGCAGGATTTTTAGGCAGGGAAACTGTTGGGGCCAGGCAACAGTTTAAATCTGTCCCTTCCTCCTGCAGTCCATCCTTTCCCACAGCTCTATATTGCTAAAAAGAGGCAGGAAAGCATGCAAAAAGAAAAAGAAAAAAAAACTTAAAATATAGGCTTGCAAGGAGGAATTATCTGATGGACGCATGCCCTGGAAGAGAAAGGAGGGAGTCCTAGACTGCACACCCAGACAGTGCCCCCCTCAGAGGGGGACAGTTCTGCACTGGAGGGATGGGGGTGGGTAGTGGCAGCTTTTGTCCTGCTCTGGACCTCCCAGGAACTTCTGCCCCACTTTGGAGAGGGTGGAAACATTAGGCAATGTTCCCCCTGCCTGGCCCAGACTTGCTACATCCAGTCTTTTTACTCCTTTCCTAATTACTTTTTAAGAAAACAAACAAAATGTTGGTTGGGCTTTTGTGTGCTCATGTGTGTATGCATGAGTGCGTGCGTGTCTGGGGGAAAGCAGGGAGGGGTCTCTGCAGCAAAGTCAGACCTGCTGCTCACACAATAAAGTGGTCTTCCAGGGCCCTTCCTGGAGCTCTAGCCCTGTGGTTGTAGGGAGTCACCTGGACCCTGCCAGTTAGAGAGGTAAGGGGTGAAAGCTGGGAGCCTGGTCTTACCTGTCCATACAGACAGAAGGAGCCCTTCTCTTCTTTGCACTCCTTGCTCTCCCCAGTTAGGATCCAGCCTCTGACTGGGAGGCCTTGAGATCATCCAGTTCAGAGTCCTCAGCAAAGCATCTGTACTGGTACCATATGCTCCTCTGTGGCTGGAGTCCTCCTCACAGATGAGCTTAATACTGGGCCTGCTGGAACTTAACTTTGGGCCTTTGGGGAGAAGCCTGAACCCTCCTTCCACCATCCCACACCCAAAGGTTCCCTGTTGGCTGGGAAAGGGGCCTAAACCAGTATCTGGGCAGGATCAAGCTGAGACAGGCCCAGGTTCTAGCCCTGTACAGTATTTAGCAGCTCTAAAGAAGCTTAGGCAAGTTACCTAACCTCTCGGAAACAGTTTCTACAACTGAGGGGTAAACAAGGTAACTTTGGCAATGCACTATTCTAGCTCACAGGAAGAACCACAGTGCGTGGTTGTAGTTAATAAATTAGGATGGCGGCTGGAAATTCTGCAGGCTTGGGAGGGTACAGACAGGGGAATGAATGGCTTGTCCAGCCTAGGTGTGGGCTGCCTCTTCTGCTAACCAGGAGGACATCTTTTGAAGAAGTCAACCAGCCCCTGGCCTCGGACTAAGGATTTTCCGCCTTTCTTGCTTGGAGTGAATGGTAAATTTCCCAGCTGGCTTCTTGAAGGGCCTCTCACTTTATTAATGTGGTAAACAATTCTTCACACCTTGCTGGTAGCTAGAGGCAGTTTCTGAGCTTCCACAATCAACCTTGTCCTTGATCTTCTGGGAGGTGGCTGCCCGGGTGGTCATCTGGAGAATCTCAGCAGCTCTCTCCCTCCTCCCTCACTGAGCCTCTGGTAGACAATCACTTTGTCTCTAGGCTCCTCCCTTCCTCCTAGCTCCTGTTTGTTGTTCAGACTACCTGAAGAGAGACTTTTCTAAACTACAAATCTACAAAATGCTTCATGACATTTACCTGTTTAACCCTTTACAGCCAAAAGCCAAACTCCTTTGTGTGGTGTTTCAGGCCTATGTGATATGCCTCCCTGGCCTCTACCTCTGACCATCTCTTCTCAGGTCCCAAGCTCTGTCATAGGGAAATGAGGAGGGAGAATGGTGCCCTCAAATTCTTCAAGCTTATGTCCCAGGTCCCCTTCCTCCTGGAAGCCCTCTGCCAAAGTCAGTCCCCCTTCCTATTACAGTGTGTTGCAAATCGCTTTGTATTTGAGCAC